GAGAGAGAGAGAGAGAGAGAGAGAGAGAGAGAGAGAGAGAGAGAGAGAGTCGAGGGAAAGAAAGTCAAAATAGAAGAGGACAAGGTCCGGAAAGAGAAAAGTTCGGCGTTGCCGCCGTACACTCACGCCACAGATAACAATCCGCAACAAAGGCGCATTCGCTGTTAATTCCAATATGGCCCCGGGCCAATCAACTCAACTCCGATCATCGATCCTCATACCCGCACCGACGGTCCCGGCCGCCGCGTGCTAACTCCCACCACTGCAATCGTCACCCCGCTGTCGTAAACTCGACACGGTCCGCCCGGATCCCACAGTCCGTCGTGGCGATCAAGCGCGCAACCGGCCAGCCTATCGTCAACCCGACAGGACTTTCCGACTCGCATCAGCCCACTCTGCCTAGCCACTGCTTCCCAGACGCTGGTTTAGGAGTCGAGAACGTAAGAGAGATTTGCGGACGCGCTTGCGGGTTTTATAGTTGCGACAAGGGAGATAGAAGGGGGAGAAGGCGACGGGAAAGCTGAGGTGTAAGAGGAGAAGCAAGAGGAGAAGACTTTGAGAAGAGTGCTCTACGAACGCATGTTGATCCCTCGAAACTCAAGGTTCAACCAATCAGATTCGCCGCGCAATAGGAAGGTCCTATTGATCCGCACACCTGATTGGCGAGCGGGAGTTATCGATGGATCGACCGGGCGTCGTGCGCCAGGCTCAGAGGGTGAGAAGAGAAAAGGCGCGAGAAGTAGCGCAAGACGGGTCCAAGATTCATATGATCAAGAAAGGGAAATGGGCGCGCAAAAAGCAAGGCGGGAGAGAGAGAGAGAGAAGGAAAACAGTTACGGGGAGAGAGAAAAAGGAGGGAGAAGGGAAGGGAGGCGCGGGAGGGAGCGATGCGGGGGACAGAGAGGAAAAAGCTCTGCATACGTGGCACCGTCAACAAAAAAAAAGAAAAAGGCACTGAAACAGTTACGGCTTGCTTCTATCCGCGCACAAAAGGCGACGCGGGAAAAGAAAATCCTACGTCTATTCGTATTCACGCAAAATTCCGAGAGTTTTCCCCGACGCGCCCAAGAACATACACACTCGAAAAGGACACGTCGAAGTTCCGCTTGTCCCGGAATTTCCAATTGCCGAGCCCAATTTCCAGTGTGCTCGCTAAGGCGCACGTAAATTCCCATGTATTTCCCGATTTTGCAAAAAGGAAAAACAGAACCCAGAAGTCGAAAAAGCTTTCAGAAAAAAAAGAAAAATGCGGCATCCGAAAACAAGAAAAATCGAAACGGGGTCTTTCTGGGGTTGGTATGATACAAGCAAAAGAAGGGGTACGAAAGATGGCACGGGTTCGGGAAGTGGTTCGTCACATATGTGACGCGCAGGGGGTTCCAAAATTATGCGATCTCCTGATTGCATGTCATGGCGGAGGAGGAAAGAGAAGAGGGAGAACAGAGTGATGCATGAGGAACCAAACACATCAATCAGAGCTCCAGAAGGAAGCACAAGGAGTGGTAACTGAGCCGTGAATGAGATGGTGACAACATCCGTGGCAAGATCTCCGCGGCCCTATCATATGCAACCCCTTGCCCTGTAGAGATCGTCCAGGTGACGCCATCACGGTCCACCTGATCTCCGTGTGCTCTGCACCCCAGCTCGTTGCTGCCCGTCGAATCAGAGCGTAGGTTGACGTCATCGTTGATGGCAGGATCTTCACGAAGCTTACTGATTCGTGCCGATGAGGAGAGGAGGGGGGGGGGGTTATGTGATTGGGGCCTACTGCCTAGTTGGAATAGGCCAGTAGAGACGGTACATGGAGGGGATCTCGTGGGGATGACGGGGAGGAAGCGGGGGCAGGAAGCGATTCATCCCTTCCATCGTCACCGGGAGCTCCTCATACCGGATGATCCGGTGGAAGTGGGGGAAATGATTGCCGCTGCGGGGAAGGGAAGCGAGGTAGTCGCGATAGAAGGAGGAAAGGGTGCGGAAGAGCGCCGCTTGAAAAATCTCGAAGTGGCGGCAAGCGGGGATTGTCCCCGTGGCGACGCAGTGAACCTCTACCACGTTGCATCGCTCCCATGCAGCGCTGAACAGCAGGAGATGCCAGCAGAACGTGGGGGCAGCGGATTGAAGGGAGGCATGGGGATGGACGGTGGCGAGTAGACGGGTAGAATAAAAGTCACGGAAGAGATGGGGATGGAAAGGATGGGAAGGGAAGGTGACGGGGGTACGGATCTGCTTGAGGGTGAGGAAATCAAGGGGTCGGCGGGACAGCATCCGAGGACGAAGGCCTATCGCCCGCATTGGTACGTTGGCGAACTGGGGGACGGGTGGGGCTGGAGGAGGAGGGGGATCGGCTCCGTCTCCGTCACGCGGTACTTGAGGTGGCGGCTGCAGGGTCGCCATCTTCGGGCTTCGGCGGCTCCAGATCCCTGGTTGGATCGTTACCGATGCGCAGGCTAGCTTGGCTGGCGAACTCCAGCTGGCGCTTCCCGGTGGCAATTTCTTCGCGCTTTCGTGCCGCTTTCGGATCTTCCACCTCCGTTCCCGTGCGCGTCGCTTCCTCCTGCAAGGCTTCCCACCCGGACCCGGTTCCTTCTTCTTCCTCTTCCTCCTCACTCAGCTCACCCTTGCTATGTTCACTATAGCTTCCCTCCTCCGATGTTTCTTCGTCGTCGTCTTCTTCTTCGTCATCGTCGTCGATCACCACTTCCTCTACCCTCGGGTGGAAGGTGTGAGGGATGATCTCGTATGGCTTCAAATACTCCTGCCGCGATGGTAGCGTATCCTCGTCCCTAGGTTCCTCCAAGCACGCAGTCCACTGAAGGTACGGGTCCAGTGATCGCTCAAAAATGTGCGGAGCAGGACTGTCGTCACTCTGAAAATAGATGTCGGGCGAGAGATCGTCTGTCAATTGCACGATCGGTGCAATGAGCTCCTGCGCAATCAGGTGGCGTCGACCCGGCCGTACTGATCCAAAGAGAAAGCCAAGAAGATCTCCTTCCACGTTAGTCCTCCAAGCCTGTATGATCAGCAGCTCCGGATTCTCGATCCACGTGGGATGCTCGCTAGTGCCCGTCCATGTCACCTATACTATGGCCAAGCAAAAAGACAGCTCCTCAAACATTTTGCGCCACAACCGCCAATGTCCAGGATTGATAAGAGAGACTGAAAGAGGCTCGAACGAGAAGGAAAGAGAAGGGTGAAGATCGGATTGCCAAAAGGTGGGGAAGAGAGAGGGGAGACCATAGATAGAGAGAGGAGCGAGGAGATCGGCGTGGTTCATTGGGGATGTGGGAAGGGGACGAGGGTTGGGATCGCAATTGGCCGCTCGCGCGGTGATCGGCGAATATTGTCTAGATCCGTTGTAAAGATCGGGATGAGGTTATACCCCTGTCGGGCGAGGACGTGCTGCCACACGTTGGACATTTGCTCGGTCCAATCACGCAGCGAGGTCAAGATCGCGGTATGCCACAGCAGCTTGACCGAGCTGATGTCGCCGGTGAATGCCGCCACCGTGGTGACGTAGCTCGTCCTGAGACCTGCTCGCCGATGAACTGCGGTTACCTCCGCGAATACCACTGCGTGAGGACTTCCTTCGATTCAAAACGCGGCGGCGGCACAGATACCTTCGTCGCAGAAGAATCGCATCAGACGCCGAAAATCTGCATTGAGCCGAGGGTGACAAACTTGCCGAATCTCGGAGATGTGGCCACGTGGCTGCAACAGCTGTGCGTCAAGAACTCGCTCCGTGATAAAACTCATGGCGAGGTGGGAGAGGAGGACGAAGGACAAGAGGGAAAAAAAGGAGAGAGAGTTAGATTGTCGTCGTTCTCCTCGCTTTCCGAGGAAGAAGAGGGAGGAAGATCAGAAGGAGGAAGAAGCCGGAGGTAGGAGGTATGCCGGACGATGGGGACAGAGCTATGGCTGACACTAGCTTCAGGCGTGATGCGCACCGTGTTAGCGCCGTTGGGTCCGAGTTCGACAACGCGAAAACAGCCAGAGAACTTGGGAGCGAGTTTCCGGTCGCGTGCACATTTACGTACCTGCACTAGGTCCCCTAATTTATATTGGTACTGGGGCCCAGCATTTCCATTCCGGGCCTCGTAGCTACGGACTTGTCTACCGTGGGCCAGTTCGGTCATCCTTTGCCTTTTTCGGGCTAGCTTTGGGATGGCCTGTTCCATTAATTCGGTGTACCTTTTGGCCTTGGCCTTGAGAGCTGCACACGTGTCTCTACCCCCTACTTCGGCAATTTCCGAGTTACCCCGGTAATTGACACAGGGGAGGCTATTAGTTCGAAGCTGAAAGGGGGTGAACCCTGTAGACTCGTGAGGGGTAGCCCGGTGAATTCCGACGATCTGATATACAATCTCGGGCCAAGGACGCATGTCGGGTGCCACTAAGTTCCTGCGAAAGGCGGTTTTAATCATACGGTTGACGTTCTCGGCCAACCTGTTCGATTGGGACACGTGGGGTGCCATATGTCGGAGCGTGACGCCCCTTCACGCAAGCAGTTCTTCTACCTCTCCTTTGAATTCCGACCCATTGTCGGTTAGAATTTCTTCCGTATCTAGATGGGTATAGAGGAATCGTTCGATGTATGTGGCTATTTCTGCGGCCTTTCGGGTCTTACAGGGATAGACTTCGATGTATTTGGGAAAATGGTCAATTAAAACTAACAGGATAGAATATTCATAGCAGTTTGGTCCAGGTGGCATGTCAATATCTGTCGTATCCATACTGACTCGCTGGAAAGGACGCTCTACTTCCGTTGGTACTATCGTGTTTGGTCCCCGTATAGGGGCGCGATCAGCGACACAGACCAGACAGTTAGCGATAATGTACTTGACGTCATCTCGTATATTGGACCAGAATCATCGGTTCTGGTCTACAGTTGCCTCCGTGACACGTATCGCGAAATGAGCGGCCTGTTCTTCGTGAGCGGATCGGATCCAATCGTATCTCTGGAAGGGATGGGGAACCGTCAACCACGAACCTGATCCGTCAGTTTTACGCTTTTCCAAATGACCATTGATCCATCGATAGTCTCGAGATCTCGCGGTTGCCCTACGTTTGTCGTGCTTGGTGAGGTGGCCCAACAATAATCCCGCTAATTTTGCTAATAAAATTTTATCCGTCCAAACCTCTGCTCGTCGGTATTTTTCGTCGTATTCAGGGCCGTCCGTACGGGCGGCCTCGAATCGAACCTCTGTGGGGAGCTTGTTCGTTCTACACAGGGGGCACCTCCATTCCTTGCTACTCGTCCGATATCGAACACAGGCCCCGTGGGCACGGCTAACACACGTGGGACATTCTACCCAATCGACCACCCGGTCTCGAAAGGATGACAGTCGACCCCATAAACCCGTGCAATACACGTGCAAAAATAACAGAATATATCGGGGAGGGTGGCGAAGAAGGCGGAGGACGTGAGGGGCAGAATTAGTAGGAGATGAAGGGGTTGCGGAGGCGAGTGAGGTATTCATGGTGACAAAAGAGGAGAGATGGGACTGACTTATAGATGAAGTAGAACAGACAAATTAGTCTTCGTGCCACTTACTGCTTCGACAAAATCTCCACTTGGCCGTACCGGGGTCCAACCTCCTGTTTAGGTTCGTTCCACGGAATCACCTCCTCATTCTTCGGAACCTTCTCAGGCCGGTGCAGCCGTGTCAGTCCGTCTGCATTCCCGTGTCTCTCGTGCTTCCGATGACGAATGTCAAAGTCCATGCTCTGCAGCACCGTTGCCCATCGCCCGATCATGCCCGAGTAATCCTTCGGCTTCTTCAGAGCCAACAGGGGCTCATGATCGGTCACCAGGGTGAATTTTCGTCCGTACAGGTAAGCACGAAAGTGACTGATTCCCTAGAGAGCCGCATAGCATTCACCTGTTGGAGCGGCGTAGTTGTGCTTGCAGGCGGGCACTGATTTGGACGCATACTCCACCACACTCTCGAGTCCGCTTGGTCCCTCCTGGGCAAGGATCGCCGAAATCGCTTCTGGCTGCCAGTCAGTGATGAGAATAAAAGGTTTTTCGGGATCCGGTCTTATAAGGACCGGAGCCGAAATGAGAGCGGCCTTGAGTGTGGAGAACACTTGATTGCATTCCGACTTCCAGATCAACGGCTGATCCTTGCGCAACAGGTTTGTGAGGGGTCCCACGATCGCCGCGAAGCCCTTGATAAATCTTCGGTAGTACGAGGCTAGGCCAAGAAAGGCGCGAACTTGCGTGATAGTCGTAGGCACCGGAGCGTCCCTGACAGCTGCCACCTTCTGCGGTTCCGGTTGGAGTCCCTTGTCTGTCACCACGTGCCTTAGGAAGGAAATGGTGGTGAGGAAAAACTGACACTTCTCAAGCGCCACCTTGAAGCCTGGATCTCGTAACGCATGCAGTGCCCATTCGATGTGTTGCACGTGTCCCTCGTAGGAACTCGAATACACTAGGATATCATCCATGTACACGATCACGCAGTAGTTGATGATGCTCTGCGCCAAACGAGTCTTCGCACGAAATTATGAAAAGCCATGTTCATGGCCCGCTGAAAAGTCGCAGGGGCGTTGCAGATACCCATCGGACATCGAATCCATTGCCACTTACCTTCGAAAAACACAAACGCGATTTTCAGACGATCTTCTTCTCCAACAAGAAGATGATGGAACCCATGGCGGACATCAAACTTGCTGAAAAATCGTGCACTCTCAATCGCATCCAACAATTCATCAATCCGGGGAAGAGGGTACACATCTTTAATCGTGATATCATTCAATTTTCGGTAATCAATACGAATGCGAATCCCTCCGACCTTTTTAGGCACGATCACTACAGGAAAAATCCATAGACCTATAGCAGGTTCGATCCATCCATTAACTTCGAACTCCTTAATCCGCTGAAAAGCGGCCGCTCTTTGAGCTGGCGAGTATCGGTAGGGAGCGCAGCTAATGGGCGGATGATCTCCCGTGGGAATGGCATGCTCGATCACATTAGTTAAACCGATGTCGTTATCGTGTATGCTCAATACTTCTGCGTAGCCATTTGACACACGAATTAACGATTTTCGAAGTTCCGCGGGAACGTGACTCGGGAGGGGGATTGTTGATTCCCCGGAAATCTTGAGGGGCATATCGACCCAATCAATCGGTCGTTCCCGCCGTTCATGGACACTAGAGAAAACGGAACTACTGGTGCGAACAGAGAAGACAGTTGCTATCATTTGGGACTCAGCGGGGCTGATCATCTCCGTTTCTTTGGTTTCAGCGTCGGTCTCTGAACCAACCGAGGTCGGTTTCACAGTTAGCCCTGTTAGATCCGTCATTTTTTTCATCAGATTAGGTACGTTACTTACCGGTGCTTCCGCCTCTTGTTTGATCAAGGCGATGGTGGCTGCTGTCGTTAGTAACGATCTTGGCGGAAAAACAGAGACATCCAAATACTGTTCCGTTTGTTGATAACGCGTTCGTAAGGAAAGAGCTCCCTCGTACAAGGTGCGAGGGGGTTCCAAATCATCAGCCAGATCGGAAACTTATAATAGGGGTTCCCCGAGGAGGAATGAAGGACTGACCTGGGTTGTCAGAGGCGTGCACGTGTTGTCTTTAACATCCACGTGGAAGCTTCGGGTGGTGTCGGGGCACACTTGAAATTCTTCGGAAATTTCTCGTTCGAAAAGTTCGACCAGGTGTTTCCATTCCTCTTCACTGGGCATTTCTTCTTCATATCCTTGTTCCCTGATTCCATTACTGATGCTCGAGGGAGAGCAATCTTCGGGATCAATGTATCGAATCATCCCGACTTGGACCGAGTTAGGGACCCGTTTCATCGTTCGGGTGGAAACTCGCAAAGGAACAGTTTGAGGCTTTCCCCCAGTTTGCGTGAGCACCAGTTGTTTCGAATCGAAATGCAGACGTGCACCTACAGCCATTGCCCAAGGTAATCCCAACAACACAGAATAGGAATGTACATCTATTACGAGCGCGTTAACAAGGACGTGTACTCGTCCAACTTTTACAGCCACATTCTCGATAATGCCTACGATATTCATTGCTTCCTCGTCGGCAGAGACATAGTTGTCTTTGCCAGATTGAGGAAGA